CCCACTTGAAGCAACGAAGCATTCGAAAATACCACCAGGGAAAGGACTGGAACATTCCTGACAGCTACACCTATAGGATGTCGTTTTTGGTTCCATGTTTAGTTATGAACCTAGTGGTTTTTTCCATATCCATTCTTTGGGGCAAATTTTCGGAAAATATTGCTGGTGATGACAATGACCTTTATACAGCTTCAAAGCTCCGTGTTTGTTGCATCTTGAGGAGTCTGCTTGGAGGCTGGCGGTTTGGCTGGGGCTGTATGATACGCCTCCTGGCTCGGCAGCCTTGCCAAGACAACTGCTTTTCAACTCCTTCTTGTTTTCCTCCCTGCCTTCGGCCTTCTTGTTTTCCTCCCTGTCTTCCTCCATTGCCTTCCCCTCCCCCCAAGTGAATGGAATTGACGTGGCTTCCATCTTTTGCTATTTTGAGTAGTGCTGGTGTGCAGGCATCTATTCATACCCTGGCTCTTATTTCTCTAGAGTATATGCCAAATATTGGAATTGATGGGTTATATGGTACTTCTTTTTCCAACTTTTAAGGACACACCATATTGTTTTCCACAGTGGTCAAACCATTTTAAAACTTTAAAAAGGCTACTTCGCAGACAGTAATTGCATGGGGACCCGAGTGACATGAAAATCGTGACAACTGCAAGTTTCTTCATTCACCATGCTTTTGCTCACTGATCCACTTGTGAGGAATTTCTTTGTACTGAGATGTGATTCGTGCTGCAGGCTATAGTCTTTGGTCTTCATTAGGTCTGGGCTTCAAGTCCTCTTCCCTTTCAGCATGCAAGGTTGTGTCATCTGCATATCCTCGGTTGTTAATGAGATTTCCTCCCATCCTGATGCTGAATTCTTCACACAGTCCACCTTCTCAGATTATTTGCTCAGCCTCTAGATTGGATAAACATGGTGACAGGAGACCAACATGACACACACATTTCCTGATTCGAAACCATGCAGGAGGGAGCTCCGTGTTCTAAGTACCGGTACCGTGTGAGCACAGTGAGTGTTCTGGAGTTCCTGCTCTTCGTATGCACTCCATCACTTGTAAGGTCCCTACAAATGCCTTTTCACAGCCAAGGAAACACAGATAAATATCTTTCTGGTACTCTATACTTTCAGCCAAGATCCATCTGACATCACCATTGGTTTCCCTCTTTCCACACCCTCTTGTGGCTTCAGCTTGTGTTTCTGGCAATGTATTTCTGTCAGCTTGAATTTCTGTAAATGGACTGATGCATGATTTTAAAAGTATCTTTACCAAAATGTTGCTTGCCTGAGATAATAATCATGTTGCTAGGTATTCCCTGCCTTTGGAATGGGCACAAATACGGATCTCTTTCAGTTGGATGGCCAGGTGGCTGTCTTCCAGATTTCTTGGCCTAAACAACCGAGCGCTGTCTGAGTTGCATTCATTTGTAGAGATGTCTCCGTCAGTGTTGTACACCAACGCCTTACACCATCTCCTGCTTGGACTCTTTCCTTCCACACCATCTGTTCGTGATCACATGCTCCCACCCCAAATAGTTGAACATCAACCAGTTATATTTTCTACAGTAACTACGTGTATTCCTTCCATCTTCTTTTGAGTCCTCCTGAAACATTCATATGATATTTTGCCCTTAGAATCCTTCAATATTGGAACTCAAGGCTTGAGTTTCTTCTTTGGTTCTTTCAGCTTGATACATGCTATGCTCACTCTGCCCTTTAGGCTTTCTAACTACAGGTCTGGGCATCTTTCATTACACTTTGTCTTCCCAGTCATCCTCTGTAATCCTCTCCTCAGTTTTCAGCCTCATCAGTTCTTCCATTTGCTCCCGCTACTCTCCATTCAAGAGCCACGTCCAGTCTCTTCTGCTAGCCATCGTGGTCTTTTATTTCTTCCCTGTCTTTTAAGGACCCTTTTCCTTCTTTATATACGATGTCCTTGATGTCACTCCACAACAGGTCTGGTCTTCTGTCATTGGTGTTCAATGCATGTCAAATCTATTCTTGCTACATCCTCTAAATTAAAGTGGGATATGCATAATATGGTCTTACTTTGGTTCTCATGGGCTTGTTTTAATTGCTCTCAGCTATGACCTGGACTTGCAAAAAAGTAATTAATGGTCTCTACAGACAGATCTAAGAAAAACATAATACCCAATGCAGACAATCTTTAATAGTTAAGCTAAATAATTTTTTGGTTTTAGGAAATTTTGAAGGGATATTTTTGGTTTAGTATTTAAAGATTATCACAGGGCAATAGTTTTGGGGGTTCAACCAGCCACCATGACTCCAAAATTCTATGAGAATTTGAAATCTATCCTGCATTTTCCTCCCTTTTAATCAGGATTCTTCAATAGAATAGAAAACCTGGTCTTTTAACTCTTGCTGCAACTATGATTCCCACTTCTTTCTTGAGCTCTCACTGCACTGTTCATCTTTCAAGATTTTATCTTTCAAGTATTTTATCTTCCCCACTGCCTCTTCCTTGGCCCATTCAGACTCTCTGGAAATGTCAAGACACAGAGTCAAGTGCTTCTACTTACCATCAGCTTGGAAAAGCAGCATCCTCTCATCTTGCTGATGGGAAGTATAGCCAACAGACCTCTACCTGGGAGAGGCATAGAAGGGTTAGATTGAAGTCAGGCAAAGTCCTAATACTGCTCTCCCTCTAGCCTCATGTTGTGTGTTGTTGCTGTAGTTAGTAGCTGTCAAGTCCACTCCAACGCATGGTAGCCGTATGGAAGAGCATCATACTGTCTGCTCCTGTGTCAGCCTCATGATCCCTGGTATGTCTGAGTCCACTGTTGTGGTTCTTGTGCTAGTCCATCTCCATCCGGGTTTCCCTCATTTTTGCTGACTGACTACTTTTCCAAACAGGATGTCTTTTATTAGCAATTGGTCTTTCTGGAGAGTGTGCCCAAAGTAAGCAAGATGAAGCCTCGCTCTCCATCCTTGGGTCTAAGGAGCATTCTGGTCATGTTTCTTCTAAGACTGATTTGTTTATTCTTCTGGAAGTCCATGGTCGATTCAATACGCTTCACCAACACCTAGACTCCCAGTCATCCATTTTTCTTCTGTCTTCTTTTTCCATTGTCCAGTTTTTGTATGTCGAAGAGGCCATTGGGGGTGGGGGAAACCATTAGTTGAGTCAGCGATACTGCAACCATCAAACTGATACCATCTCTGCTCTCATATTCCTGACTTAATGGCCCTCTGCTCTCTTCTGGCATAAAGAGGTACTGTGTAGACAAAATGTAATAAGACAATCTCAACTAAAGAAGGAACTGCCAGCCACTGAGACGTTGGCATCTGAGCACCCATCTACTCGTTGGTGTTAGGTGCCATGGATCTCTTCTGAGATCACAGAACAGAACAGAGCTGCCTTCATAGTTTTCCTAGCCTGTAATATTTTGGGGGACGGGATGGCCAAGTCTTTCTTCTGTAGAACTACTCCAAACCAAACCAAACCAAACTGACTGCCAGCGAGTCGACCCTGACTCCTGGAGACTCCACTGTGGGTGTCTGAGACTGTGACTGCTGACAGGAGTACAAAGCCCAGTCTTCAGGGCTGCTGGTGGCTTCGAACTGCCAACCATGTGAATCATAGACCAACGAGTAACCACTACACCACAACTGGGAAGGTGTAAACTGCCAAGCTTTCATTTACCAGAGACCATGTAACCATTGTGCCACCGGGGCTAAATCTACTCCTCTGAGTAGCCGTAAATATCCCAGGAGCCTCCAAAAAGGTCAGCTCCAGCTCAACTCTATTTGGCTTTCCTCAGTCATTTCTTTCTTTGCCAGCCCTCCCCTGTGTTCTTAGGGAGAGTGTGCTCTATTTCTGCCCTAAATCCTTCCGGCTGTTAGTTCCTTGTACGATTTAAAGCAAAGAAAGAGCATGAGCCAGCGACATGGGACAGCGTCTGGACACTGCAGTACACAGAATCCACTCTGTCCCAGGGAGGAGGCGCTAACATTAGGTCCACGCTGGTAAACAGAGCAGGGGTATGTGTCGAGATTGAGACGGTCAGAGGGCAGCGAGAGTAGAAATGCCTTCCCCAGAGCCCCACAAAAGCTGTGGGGTGCATCCTGGTGCACCTGTCTCCCACAACTTGTAGCTCCAGCGTCATGACAGGCCTTGCCTTCAATCACACTCAAGTGGCAGACAAAGCGCATGCCCTTCCCGATGACACTGCAGAGCCCCCCCATGGGAAGAGAGCCTCCCACCCACCCCTGCCAGAGGCAGACACAGCCCCTCTCGATGGACCCACGCCCTCGTGGCTCTGACTCTTGCCTGTGCTTCCCACCATAGCTGCTGGGTGCATTTTCTGGTTGGCTTAGCAAACTGCAGGTGCTGCCTCTCCAGAACTCGGAGCCTAAGCACAACATCCATTGGCAGGTGGCTGCAATGCCCTTTCCTCTCTACTGGACCCTACTCAGCCAACTCCAAGCCCCAACATCGCCATCAAATGCTGTGCCAACCCTTCTCCTTGGCATCCTGGTGCGAGGACTCCTCCTGAACCCTCACCCCCAGACTCAGCGCTGGGGCATTTCCCTGTGCCAAAAGGGGCAGGAGAGGGAGTGTGGAGGGAAGGCAGGGGAATCTAAGCTCTGGCCCCTCCATATCCGCAGCTGCCACCACAGCCCATCAAGCTGACAAAAGCCCTTGTTAGAGCCAGGGGGTCTGGTGCCAACCCCGCCCCCTGGAGCAATGACAGGCATGTGGTGCACTTGCCCAATTCTGCAGCTGGGCTAATTACTGTGGTTCCTGAGCTTGGGGTCCAGCCCCAAACCAAACAAATTAGGACCCAAACCATAGGCTTCTTCATTCCCCTCATTCGCAGCCAGCAATTGCTGATGAACCCCTATAATTGATAACAATGCAGTAAAAATCCACCACCTGTCCTTAGTCATAAAGACTTGGCAGTTCAGTGAATAGCTCAGCCCAGCCTTCCATGGCCACAGCTACATGGAGGTTAACAACTCTGCACTTCACCCCAGGAATGAAGGCCTGGGGCCCGGGCACATACCAGGACGCAGTCCTGTCTAGAGAAAGTGCCTGCCACCAGGTGGGGAAGGCTAAGAGGTGAGAGAACCTGGGGCTAGACTGTCCATTGGGATGTTGGTGCTGGGTGCCCATCCAGTGGGCACAGGGATGTGTGGAGGGTGACTTTTGGTGGCCCAGGTACTCAGGAGGTCACAGTGAACATCAAAGTGGCTGGGGCTCACCTCCCAGTGGACCACACTCAGAAATTGTGAATGCAGGAGGCGGGGATCAGTGAATCAGACAGTTCGTCCAGGAGTCTTGGCCACAGCACCTGGGCTCACAAGCAGAAATTCTATCAAGGACCTAGAGATGCATGAGACCGGAGTCCCAAGAACACTCAGATACCTGGAAGCAAGCTAAGGCAGAGTTGAGACAAGATTTCTCCAGCAGTCACGGAATGAGACTGAGACCAGATGTTGGTTTGGGGCTTCTTGAATATCCTCAGACCAGCGGCCGACGTGGTTCAGAAATACAGGTGGAGACAGAGGCCCGGCCAGACACAGGCCCAACCAGCTCTGGGCTGTTGGTGACAGGAGCTGTTCCCACCTCCAGCTTGAACCTGACTTAGGGGCATCCAGGACTGCGACCAAACTCCGGGGTGGGAGTGGTAGATGCCCAAACACCACAGCACAACTCCAGGGGGGCAAGGAACTGTTCTAGGACACAGGGACCAGTCCGTTCTTGCAGTGAAGGAACTGGCTCCAAAGTGACAGGCCTGCTGTGGCCAGAGGAGTGCATGTAGCATGCTGATCCCAGGCCAGGCAGCAGCTTCAGCATCACCTGGAAATGTGATGGTTGGGAGGTGCCGTCTAGTCAGTTCTTAATCCCAACAACTCCATAAGACACCGTGCACTGCTTTGAGGTTTTCGTGGCTGTAACCTTCAGGGAGACAGACCACCAAGTCTTTCTCTTCCTGAGTCAGTGGGTGGGCTGGAACCGCTAACCTTGAGGGGAGCAGGGGACCCTTCACTAGTGCATTACCCCCCCCCCCCGGGGTCCTTGAGAACGTGTTGAAAACGCAGATTGTCTGGCCTCCGTGTGGCTGTTTTGAATCAATAACCTTGGGGCTGGGGCCCAGCAGTCTGTTTCTACAAACTCTTCTGAAGATGCTGCTTCCAACATTGCAAAAACCTGTGAGTAACGGTTCCCAGGAGAGGCATTCTTTCATTGGAAGCAATTATCCTCCAAGTCTAGCATGCGTCCACCTGGAGGGCTTGTAACAAGAAGAGTCGCTGAGCCCACCCCCAGGGTCCGTGACTCAGTTCTGAGATGGAGCCTGAGAATTTGTAGCTCTAACATGTTCCCGGGCCTCCTGGGTTGAATTATGCCAACCGCACCCCCCTTCAAACATATCACATGAAGAGGCAGAAGTGGGATTGATGCATATACCAGCAGGAGAGCCAAGGACCACCACTAAGCACCAGAAGCCTGCAAGAGTCCAGGGGGTCTCCTCCCAGGGGCTCCAGAGGGAGCATGGACCTGGCCACCTCTTGGTTTGGGGATTTCACAACTCTAGAACTATGAGAGGATGAATTCCTCATTTGTTTGTTTGCTTTCAGGCTCCCAGTTTCATACCCCTCTTTATGAAAGCCCTCGGAAACTGACACCCCGGGGGATGCTTAGGTTGCTGGTCCAAGGACCGCACTTTCAGAACCACTTATTCAAGTAGCCGAGGCTAAGTGCTCAGGTTTAGTCTCTGCATCCATGAACAACTGGAAGCAGAAGAGGAAGCCAGTTCAGTCAGATAATTCAGGGACCGACCAAAATGAAGATTTAAGAAAGAGGGCTAGCACTCAGCACAGTTTCTTCAAGGTTTGATGCATCAGGACCTCGGTTCTCTTTACAACTGAGTAATATTCCATTGCATGGAAAATGCACTTACTGAGAAGCACTTGCTGAGGAAGATAAAGGATTTCTGTCTTCAGATTGGATTGCAACTCAATGGAAAGAAAATAAAACAAAAAATCCTCACCACGGGACCAACAGGTGAGTAACATCACGATCAACAGAGAGAAGACTGGAGTTGTCCAGGACTTTGTCTTGCTCAGATTCACAAAGGTTCCACAATGGTCAATGGTTATGGACTCAGCAGTCAAGAGATCAAATGACACTCTAGTGGGTAAATCTCCTGCACAAGACCCCTCTATTGAGTTGAAAAGCAAGGATGTGATCCTGAGGACCACGGCGCACCTGACCCACACCAGCGCATTTTCAGTCACCTCACAGACCTGTGAAAGTTGACTGTTGAATGAGGAAGACTGAAGGCAAATCAATGTATCGGAATCGTGGTGCTGCTGAAGAAGCTTCAAGGCATCACGGACTGCCAGAGGAACGTACAAATGGTGTTGGAAGCAGTACAGCCAGAATGCTCCTTGGAGGAAAGGATGGGGAGACCTCGTCTCGTGTACTTTGGGCATATTGTCAGGAGAGGCCAATCTCTGGGAAAGGACATCATGCTTGGCAGGGCCAAGTGGAGGGGCAATGAAAAAGAAGACACCCCTCAAGGAGGTGGATGGACATGGGCTGGAGCAATGGGCTCGGACATCAGAATAACTGTGAGGATGGGCCAGCACTAGGCAGTGTTTCCGGTCTCTGTGAGCCGGAACAGACACAAGGACACCTAACCACAGCATGGGTATACCACCTGTTGTTTCTCCGTTCATCCATTGATGACATGTAGCCTATTTCTACCTTTGGGGCGATGGAAAAATTGGCCATAGAAAATAAGTGATATTGATATAACTGACTTAATTGAACTGCACACATGAAACAGGTCAAATGTTTGTGCTCTTTGTATTTTGATGAGAATAAAAGAATGAATGAATGAATGAATGAATGAATGAATGAATGAATGAATACACGAGCGTAAGAGAGAGAAGAGCTGCCCTGCATAGCCACACAACTCGTCACAGATGGATGGCGTTATGGTTCCCTGCAGGTGCAAGTCCAGATCCCTCTGACTGATTCTCCTTCTTCACCGTCAAGATCAGACAGCCCTTCAAAAGCTCAGTGGGGCTGCTGCTTCTTTCCCCATCTCTCCACATTGGCCCAGGCCCTCCTCACGAACCCAAGGTCACTGCCATGTCCTCCAGTGGCCAACTCACTCCCCCACCCCCAGCCTCCTCCTCTACCCTCTACCCTCTGCACCAGCCTGGATTAATCACCCTATCTCTTAGTCAGGAGAAGCAGGGTCAATTGGGCAGTTGTGACAAGTAGCTAGATTAGGGATGAAGGGGTTGTCTCCACCAAATGCCTACACTACACGAAAATCGGCTGGCACTGCCACCATAAGTGGAGTTGCAAAGCAATCAGGCACACTAATTAGGCAGCGATGGGAAAATCCAGAACAGAGCATGCGCAGACTAAGTCTACCTAGGCGCAGGTGAAGCTAAACCTGGCCACAATCTAGGCACATGACCCCACACAGCTGTGGTTACACTCAGACAATAAGATTAGCCAATACCCTCAACCACCCCTCCCCAGCCCATGGGCATAGGAGGGGATAAATACCAGACTCAGGGCAAGGCTGCACCCTCTTGGTCAGGTGACCCCTTGCTTGCAGGTAGCAGGAGGGTGAGATTTCTCCCGCATGCGCGGCTCCTGCGTGCTCTATGGGGCCCGCACTCTCGCGGTTTTTCATGCTCGGGTCCAGGAATTCTTTTGGTGCTGTGTACTCTTTTGCGATCCCCTCAAGTGACCATTTTCAGTCTTGAACTTTCCCACGGCCCCCACCATGCAGCCTTGCACGATTTCCAGGGATAGCGTGTACTCTCTGAGACTGTATCCCCCGAAACGTCCCTCTCCCGCATAAAAGTTACCTGGATTTCAAAAGTGCTTCCGCTGCGTGAATTCTTTCAGCGTGGAGAAGCAAACACGGAGGTAAACCACCCCAGAAAGCCCACAGTGGCAGAGCAGCCTGTCGCGGCACCCCTATGGAGACAGCAGCCGCAGGTCAGAGTGGCTCCGGGGAGATTGATTGCCCACTAAACTAGGCCAGAGAGGGCGGGCCAAGAAGGCCAAGCGTCACGGAAGGAATGCTTTATGTTGCTCCATCTCAGGACAGTCATGGTTCCACTGACACTCCATCACGCTGTCGTTTCTCTACTCCCAGGCCACTCATGAGAAACATCCTCACTTTCGCCTTCAGAACAAGCTGCCATTTAATAACTCCACAGGCGTTCTCCAAGAGCACGCCATTCCCCCCTCTGGCACCTCATCCTCCAGTGATGGGGCACACACTCCCCCTGGGGGCCAAGTTCAGACTAGTGTCTGCAGATGGCTGCACTGCTGCTGGGTGCTCTGCCCGCTGACTATCGGGGTGCCCAACCATCGCAATGGCCAGAGCTGAAGAGGTTTCCTGGGATTCTGAAATCAAGACGAAAGTTGCATTTAGCACTGTGCCAGGTGCTGTTCCAGGGGCAAGGGGTACAAGAGATGAGAGCTTGAATTTTAGTGGAAGGTGATCAATAATAAACCCAAGGCCAGCTATTGTTGTTGTTGATAAGTGCCATCCCAGTTGATTCATAGCGACGACCAGACGCACCACAGAATGCAACACTGCCCCGCCCTGGGCCAGCCTCACAATCGTCGCAGCCACTGCATCAACCCATCTTGTTGACAGTCTTCCTCTTTTTCACGGCCCCACTACTTTACCAAGCCTGATGTCCTCCAGGGACTGGTCTTTCCTGATAACATGGCCAAAGTGCACGAGATGACGTCTCACCACCTTTGCTTCTAAGGACGGTCCTTCTTCCAAGACAGCTCTGTTCTTTTGGCAGTCCACGTCCTTTCACGACGCTTCAGCAGCACCCACATGCGCACGCATCGGTTCTCCTGCGGCCCTCCTTATTCCGTGTCCAATGCTCCCGTACACTGTGTTCGGATACAGTTCGTGCTGCGGCGTGAAATGGAGCAGGACGGGAAGTGGGAATGAGTTGGGTAGCATCTGAGCTGAGAAGGTAGTGTGTGAGCAGACTTCTGAAGGTGGTGAGGCAGTAATTGATAAGGTAATCTTTGGGGAGAGCGTGCCATTTTGGGCAACAGCCTGTGCAGGTCCTGAGGCTGTGCTTGCCCTCGGGGAACACCCAGCGGTGGGGTGGGGTGGGCAAGGGGGCAGTGGGCTGGAGCTGACTAAGGCAATGGGAGGGAAGCCTAGAGGGAGTAGGATCAAAGAAGGCACATTCTGTAGAGACTCTGCAGACCGATGTGCAGACTTGGGCTTTTGCCTGGAATTAAAGGGAGAGAGGGTCTCCACCTGGCTTATGTGGTCCTAGTGCAGTCTGGATGCCGAGTTACCAATCGGCTGCTGGGGGAGAAAGTAGAAGCAGGAAGAACAGTTAGGAGGCTGCTTCAGTAATATAAATAATCAATGAGGTGCCCAGGGACGACATGTGTCTTCATTCTGAGTATATTTTGTATACAGAGATGAGGGGTTTCCCTGATACACATTGGGTATGATGTGTGAAGAAGAGGAATCTGCTTGGCTTTTGGTGTTTGGACTGCAGACATCAGTACCAGATGCTTAGACTATGTCTTTAATCCACCCACTGTCATTTGTAGGGCCCATTCTTACCAATGGAAGGACATCAGTTGGAAGCTAGAAAGCACTTCCAAATCGGATCACTGACACTGAAAAGCCACCATCAGCAAGTCAATTCCAACTCAAAGCACCTCGCAGGACAGAGCAGAAATGTTCCTTGGGGTTCCTGAGATGGTAAATCTTTCCAGGAACAGACAGCCTCGTCTTTCTCCCCCAGCGCGGCTGAGGAGTTTGAACCATCAACCTTGTGGTTAACAGACCAATGTTTATCCTGCAGCTCCAGGCTCTTCAAGTACAAAATAGATTTGCCTTCGTCCCTGGAACATGGGATGGGTAACGTGGCCCACACGGTCAACTCTAAGATCCTTGAGTGGTGCAAACCGTGAGCTCAAATGTTTGAAGTTCGAGTCTACCCAGAGGTACCTCAGAAGCAAAGCCTGGTGATCTACTTCTGAAAAGGCACCCCTGAAGTCCCTGTGGAGCGCAGTTCTACTCTCACACACATGGCATGGCGTCTCCCCAAGTCAGAGGCAATAGCAACCGATGTCAGGTCGGCTCTGTAGCTTGCTGATCAAGTCGGTGGGTACGAGGCTGGGCCTGGACTTAAACTGTCTGAGCTCCGTTTTCTCCATCCACTGATGACTATGAGAGTCAAATAAATCCATGTTCAAAAAACACAGCGCAGGGCTTAAACCTCAGAAAATGTCCTATTACTGGTGAGACGAATGATACAGATTGATATGCCACCAACTGAGGACACTGGGAACACATGTGGAAAATCAAATCTGACATTGCCCAGCAGAGGGCGGCCTCTGCAGAAGTCTGCAATGGTTCAGCTAGGAAGATCAGGTTTTCTGCCAAGGAGCTGCTAACCTTGAGGGAGGGGGAAATAAACTAAATGAACAAGCTTCCAACAAATAATAGGTCGAAAATCATATTTTTGCTCTTTCCCATTTGCATACTGATCAACTTTCAAATTCCCATAGATCCCCCTCCTCGATCTAGAGAGCTCTGTTTTGACTGGCTGTGCCATCAGTGCCCCGCTCAGGGTGAATCCGCGTGGTACCCAGAGGGCTTTCTTGGCTGTCATCTTAAGGAATGGAGTTCTCCAGGCCTTTCTTCCACAGGGCTGCTGCCTGGCTTCCATCCGCCCACCTCTGCCTTCGCTGCAGACTTGCTGCTGTGCAGGATGGATCTTCCCTTTTGGGGTACCCCTTGCTCAAAGCAGTCCCAATGCCCTGGTATAGAAGAGAAGAATGCAGCTGTGTCCCCAGCCCATCGGCCAGTTCCTGACTCCTCCCTGAGTCCTGCTGCATCACCAAAGGCTGGAGACTCTCCCAGTAAGTACCCTGGGCACTGTGAGGATGGAGACGAGAAAAGATAAGGCTTGTCCAATTTGTTCTGGTCCCTGGAAATGCTGCTTCTTATCTCCTCTCCCATTGCTTCATCACAACGCCAAAATTACGTTCGATAATATTTTTTTTTTAATTTAAGAATTCATTTTCACTTCAAGAAAGAGGCACATGGCAGCCAGATAAGAAACTCCATCTGTCTCTCAAGAAAAGGGAGTCATGGGTTTGGGTGTCACGAGCCCTCTAATGTCTTAAATGAAGGTGCCACTTCTGAATGCTTTCTTCATATTTACGGAGCCGCTATTCCACCGAGGTGCATTTAATATTGTTAAAATAATGCTTGTGTGTGTTAAAGACATCAATTTAAGTTATTATCTCCCATGTTATAAAATGCGGGATGATTTCATAAATAATTATAAAGCATTTACAAACGGTGCCTTAATGCAAAGCCTTCTTGCTAATCCTTTATCTTTCACAAACACAGAAATAACAATTAGATTCCTGGAATGAAAAAGGGAGGCGAGGTTCTAGAATGTGTCCCTTCCTTACTAAATGCAAATGAGGAAGCAGGGAGGGGGTGGTCCTGGGCAGAACACCCCTCTTTACAAATATAAATGCCTGCCCATGGTACCATTATGCTAAGCACCGCGGTCTTTCTCTGCGGGAGCTGGAGAAGGGAGAGTATCACCTCAGAGCGTATGTGGGGGGTTATCGGAACTCTTTTTAAGGAAGGTTAATTCTGCTGCTACTAATGTTTTTTAAAGGAAAGAAAAAGAAAAGAAAAGCCTGTGGAGTGGAGTCTGATCATAGGGACTAAAATAAGAAGCACCC